AGTTAATATATTTATTTCTTTAAATTTATCTGTAAGAGACTCTTTCAGTTTTAGGTTGTAAGTAGATCTAATGGCCCTTTTCTGTAAAACAAAAATAGTTTCTGGATCAGCCGCATTTCCCTATAGCAAAATTCCATAAGACATTATGCTATGGAAATAACTGAAATAAACTAATCTAGCTGTCTCGACACTAGTGAGACCTCTAATCTTTTTTACAGATAGGCTGCAGAACTTAGTCTGCTTACTAGTTTGGACATATGGGGGCCCCACTGAAGCTTTGCGTCGTGAGTGATGCTAAGAAAAACAGTGGATTCAACAGGGCTCAGTTCTTTCCCATTTAAAAACATATTGGTACTCAAATTTTTAACATTCGTTGTTGTAAATTTAATACATTTAGTTTTATTTCCGCTTAAATGTAGATTATTAACGTTAAACCAATGCACTAATTTTGATATAGCATTATTCACTTCGTCACATTTAAATAATTGACGTTTAAGTTTAAAAATCAAGGAAGTATCATTAGCAAATAATATTATATCATGATTATCCCCTACAAGAGAAGGTAAGTTATTATTATACACTAGAAATAGGAATGGACCGAGAATGGAGCCCTGAGGGACACCCATTAGTACAGGTGACCCGGAAGAACTTTTACCATTGATAATAACTTTCTGCATTCTATTACTTAAATATGAAATAATAAGTTTAAGCGCTGTGTTCTTGACACTATAATACTGTAGCTTCCTGATTAATGTCTCATGGTGAACGCAGTCGAAGGCCTTGGAAAGGTCACAAAATATACCCAAAGCATCCTCTGAATTCTCCCATGCACAAAAAATATGTTTAATAAGCTCAATTTGTATTTACGCTACGTTGTTTCTACTGCGGATATCCTCATTTTTTCTAAGTTTATCACGCAGAGAAATCCCACTAAGCTCGAATTTATCTTTGGACATGTAAAATATATCTAAGTTCGATAATTCAATATTATATATTGAACAAATCCGAGTCAAGGGTGAGTTTCTTGCATAGTTAAAATTTCGAGCGTTGGGAGCGAATAATGGGGCGTGTCTTGTACCCTTCTTGGGTACATTTACATTTATTGCAGATAGTGAAACCGGGGAATCTAGGTAGCCATTAGCTATATTAAACAAAAACATCATATCTAATGGCGCGTCTTCACCAAAGTTTGGTTGTCAACACAACATTTGCCAACACATTTTGTCAACAAATGTTTTTGTCAACAAGCGTCTCCACCGAGGGAACAAATGTCGGCAACAAGCGTATTCCTTTGATGTTGCCGCCGAAAATCGAAACAAGTTTTGTTGGAAAATGTTGTGTTGACAACAAAACTTTGGTGGCGATGCGCCATAAGACAGTACGTCTATTTTCTAAGGACGTTACTAAATTTATGATTTCGGCAGCCTGTAACATAATCAGAATAAGCGTGAGTGAGTTCTTTAATTCAGATGCCTTATAAACTTTTCCTGAACACTTTCAATTTGTTGTTTGTGGGTATATATATATAATAGGGAGACCAAATACTACTTGCGTTTTCTAAAACGGTTCGAACCCACGCTTAGTAAATATGTACTTTTAATACAGTTTATGTCTGAAAAAGGTTTGCTAATACGTAGAACAAATCCTAGTTTTTTGTAAGCTTTTTGCACTATAGTATCTACGTGTTTTGTCATTGTCAGTTTCTTGTCAAGTGTAATGCCTAAATCACGAACTTCATCTAATTCTTCAACTGGGACAGGCCCGTGACAGCTTAGTTCCATTCTATGCAACTTGGCGCTACCGTCGCAATTTGTTCTCTGGCTACGGACGCCATTTTAAAACGCCATATTGTGTTAATGTCAAATCAAATTGACAAAATTCAAAATTATCGATATTGATTCTGAGTTTAGCGCAAATGTATTTCCTCGCATTTATGTTGCATTGACATCTTGGACGCAAAGTTTCCTCCGTTATTTGTGAAAATAACAATACTCCGTTTTTGTTCTGGTCGTGTGCATATTGTATACTATGATACTATCTTAACGGAATACGAAAAGTGCTATGTTGGTGCAGATTCCCTAAAAACGATAATTTAAGAAACTTGTGGATGTATTTCATAGTATTCACAAATTCCTAGATCATTGAACTTCCCAAAGAACGTTTCTTGACTAGGCAGAAGAAGCTCATGGCGTGCCTCTGACTGCAACAGGCGAGTAATTTTATTACTTATTATGGTACTTAAGTTTCGGCTGCTGAAAGTTGTGATTTCTAAATAGGTATCAAGTGGACTCCAGTAATGAAGTATTGGACCATACATTTTGAATAAAAAACATTGCATCACTTTGTGATTATTTCACCAAACATTTTTAATTATAACTACATAGTATAAAGTGGCAGTCACTTAATAAAATTGTGTCTGTAACTATGGAAAGACAAAAAATTATATAGATATTTGCTATGAAAATGTATCGTTATAAAAATATCACTAGAACAAAGCTTGCAAAAAAGCAACAATTTATTACAAATTTTCAAAGATGCCGCTTGAATATGGTTTAATTTTTAGTTTTGTTTTAATAAATAATGATGTAATTGACATCTTCTGATCACAACACTTTTTACATTTATAAATTTTTTACAGTATATTTTATTTCACTTTCCTTATTTTAAGGTTATTGAAATATTCAAGATTTATTAAATCACTAATGTCCAAAATGCTTATATAGATCTGCTTTTCGGCTGGTACTGGATGGCAGGAGCTTGTACTATCTGGGAATCTCATTAAAGCATTCATACAAGCATCTTCAACTTGTGCAAGTTGTGACTTGTCGTCATAGTGCAGGAACATAGGGCCTTGTAATTGCAAGACTGAGTGAGCGAGACCATTTCAGAACCTTTTACTTGTAGTTATGGGTATTAAAGAATTAAAATTATAGTTTAGAGGGAGTGGTAACAGGATGGCTGTATAGTATTTATTTCTAAAACAAATGTTATTTGACTTCCCTTAATTTTATACATTATTCTATTTTTACTTAGTTGTTATAGCTTATGGGGTATAAAAATTTATTTGTTAACTTTTTTTTTTTTTTTTTTTTTTATAGGATAAGGGTGACAAACGAGCACACAGTCCACCTGATGGTAAGTGGTTGCTGCGGCCCATAGACATCTACATCTATCCTCTGTTACAAATCAATATGTAGATGCGTTGTCACCCGTGAGGACTAAGATGGAATGCCTCATTTCCAGTAAAAAGGGCCTACAAACTCTAACTAACTTACTGTAACTAACTTAACGTAACTCTACTGATTTTAATGATTTTAACAATTCTTCAATATCTACAAGTAAAATTCCTAATTTACTAAAGATTACAGAAGTTTCGATTTCATTCCATCTAGTGTAGATTGATTGGAAATTGTGTAAAAATAAATCAATCATTATTCCCTTCATACATGCTCTACGGTTTAGGGTACTCTTGACCTGGCCTTATAAAAACGAATTCTGAAATATTTAATGATTATTTAATAATTGAAAATAAAATTATACAATTTCATCAGACAGCTTTACTTAGATAAAGCGTTTTCGGCACACTGTTTAAAATCAACAATAAAGTTCCATCTATGTTTCATGAAATGGAGGATATTTATAAATTTAAAAATAATTTAAAACATATCTAACTAAGAAATGATAGGCATATAACAATGATATATATCTTTTTCAAAGATGTTACCTGTACTATTTTACTTGTATTCACAAGAATTGAATTTGAATTAATCTTGATAAAATTATTTCTTATAAATGTTATTATTTTAACAAGTGATTCTATTTATTTCATTAAGGCAATCTTGTTCACTAGTGTGTATTGACGAATTTTTAAATTACCAATCATATTTTCATACTTTATAGCATCTTTATAATCGAAGTCACTAGTAATAACCTTAATAATATATCTTAGGGAGTTTAGAATGCCTTGTTTGACTCTAAATGAAGGTGGTAACTGTTCAAATTGTTCAACACTGGAATTTGTTTCGAATTCAGTTTGAAATATTATAATAATTAATTGAATGTTTAGAGATTTTTTTGTCAAAATAATTCTAACATGCTTATTTAAGTATTTAAGTTCATGTATCTATTAATATTCAATTCTAACTGCTCATGCGAAACATTTAAATCTGAAACTTTAATTATAATTCACTTTTCATCACTTACACTGAGATGGCCATCTCTAAGTAACACACCAATATTAATATTATAAGGCCATAGGAATTGTTTTCTGCTACATGTAATTCTAAATTTGATGTTGTGGTTAAATCTAATTAAAATTATTTGCAAAACGAATGGATATCTAAAACCTTGTGAATTATTATGTATGGATTGTGAAGTTGGTTAACTATAATTTTTTTTAAGTAGGTATTGAAACCACTAAGAATATTTTCTAATTCAGTTTCAATATGATCTAGAATCACCAGAATCTTTCACTTAAAAAGAGATGCATCTTATCCTATAAGGTAATTGTTATATATAATATTATTTAGTTTGTATGTATAATCTTGTTGATGCCATAAAAAATCTTATAATATATTAAATAAACTTGAAATACTTTGATCGCCATCAAACATGCTGATCAAGCATTTTTAGATCCTTAGGTCTAATTTGAAGAAAGTGACATACTTTTTTCTCTTCTCTGTTCCATTTTTATTTAAAAATCAATACAAGTATACAAAAATATTCTGTTAATTATTCTCTTTCTATAATTTTAGCACTTCTTAACCCTTTTGTTGTCCCGTGCACTACATATAGGGCACTGCTATTGTCTTACTATTGTGTCTGCCAACCGGACAGTGAAAATGTTAAGATTATAATTAACTACATTATTTTTATTTAATCCATTTTATTTTTCTTTATAATAATATTTACCTAATAAATAACTGCCAAGTTTTGTGCAGAAATCAAATAACTTTCAACGATTTTAGTTCAAAAGTCACAACATAGAGCCATAAAGAAATAACCACAGGAAATAACTACAATGAGACAGGATAGTAAAACGCTTTATTTACAGTTCGCTCACTGCCACGTCTACCTGTAGATCTCCTCTTGTCTGAATAGGAAGGTTTCTTCAGCTCCTGATTTAACAAACTTATTTGGTTTGAGGATATCCGGAACTGTGGACAAGACCAATTTGAGTGTATTTGAACTCAGCTGTAAGCTGTGAGCTGGCTGCGCCAGTTAAGTTTCGGGAGTGGTGGTGAAGCTTTTTAAAAACTACAAATATATCTCAATGACATTTAATAACTATTACATTACAGTAATGTATTAAAATTAATTCAGTGCAATACTGACTTCCTTAACTACGTGATTACATTACTACGATGAGAACTATAATGAATCTTATTCTAAATGCAAGGGCTTATATAGGATGGTCAAAACAAGTCAAACACATCAAAAGTTCTAAATAATAAATTAATATTTTTATGTTCATCATTCAGTTACAAAATATGAATATAGTACTTAATTATTTTATTTATTTCATTACAGGTTACATTGATGAAGAAAATAGTATCAAAGAAGAGAAAATTGGTTAAAATTTTGACAAAGATTGCAACTAAAACTTTAGGTGACTCAGTTTCTCAGACTTGTTAAAGCCCAATGCCTGTCAAGAAATAAAGACCTATCGGAAATTTTGAAAAAAAAATGGTATAAATTACATTTTTTTTTACTAATATCTTTGCTAATACTAGGTAAATCAGGTATAGAAATTACAATTAATTACTATATCAAATTAATGTTTTGTACAGAGAAATAAATCCTATACAGATGGAACTTAACTTTTCTAATTTAAATTGTACCTAGATCTGGGAGTTATTCAAAATGTGAAATGGTTTACAAATTTTAGAAACAAAATTGTATTTCTTTATGGAATATTCTAAGCCACTTAAAATATACTATAAAATAATCTTCGACCTTAAAAAAATATTATGTAATAAATCACATAATTTACTTTTCATTACACATTGATATCAAAATAATGAAGCTTAAATAATAAGGATATGAATATACAAGTAGCACTTCCTTTGTGTTAATAGTTTTCCATCTAAAAAATGAGTAATGGTAAAAGATTGAAATTAACATTTTTCCTGTTTTCTTATAGATAAAACACAAAAATTCAGTTCTCCTAAAACTGATCACTTGATTAAATTCTCGAGAATTTTTTAGAAACATAATTTATAATTGTGTTCTTATTTGTTTTACTCCACGGTTGGTTTGATAATGTTAAAATTCCCTATGTGAATACCACTGTGTACTTCAATTTATATCTTCTCAACCAATATTCTTTTTATTTATTTATTTATTTTATTAAGAAAACCAACAGCCTTACAAATTGTATATCTTATAACTATGTGTAATGTAGTATTGCCAATAACAGGTTTCCCTTAAATTAACAAATGGCACTGTAACAATCAAACTTTGTTAGTGCTAAAATTAACTCTATAAATATACTAAGGAATTCAAGGATGCCATCCGCTTAAACCTATCAATATAATAGATAGTTAAGTAGATACTAAGCTAAACTGTACACCACACAAAACAAGTCAGGTAAAGAAATACAATATACATGTTTGTGAAAGTAATATATAAGTACCACACATTATAGACGTAGACAGAGATAATGATAGAAGGCAAAGACGAATAAGAAAAGTAAAGGTTAAAGTACAACTTTTGTTTATATCACTTAAAATTTGTGAGAGTTTATGATGATGCCTGTCACCTTCTTTTTGAAAGTTAACCTGAGTAAAAAAAGTAATCTCTGTCATCAATTTTTTAAGCGGTAGAGCCATGCTGCAGCTATATTAGTGGTTTAGTTGTAGCACGAATGGTTCGTGCTACAACTAAACCAATGGACCACGCTTTTACAGAATACCAGCGTAAAATAGCAGCTTAATGCTGTTGTTTCGTATGGTGGGTGTAGAGAACAGGAGACCCTTTTTACTGGAAATGAGGCATTCCATTTTAGTCCTCACGGGTGACAACGCATCTGCATTTTGATTAGTAATCAAGGATAGATATAAATATCTATGGGCCACAGCAACCACCTTCCATCAGGTGGACTGTGTGCTCGTTTGTTACCCTTATCCTATTAAAAAGGAATCCTCTTTTCTCGTCTCAAGTCTTCTTAGCTGTCTCTTTGCCTCATTATTTTATATTTTTTACTTTATTTTATAAATATTTATTTACAACTTGTTCCCAAAACTTTTTATGGCACTATGTAATATTTTCCTCATTTTGGTAATGTGTGTATTTATTAGGTCTTATATTTATTATGAGTTTATTACTATCGGTGGCCAGCTCGCCTCTCAAGGTCGCCATGTAATGACGTTATTAAATGAGACAACCTGTATCTGCCAAGTGCTGTTTATTACTACATTAAATTTATAATTGATATTACATTAGTGGATACCGTGAGCCACACTACAATTGTATAAAGGTTAACAAAGTCTGTTGTAAGCAAATAGGAAATGTCTTTTGGTGAAATACTTGCAGGTGCAATAGCTGTAAAAGTAATTAAATTAAAAATATTTTTTTTTTCAGATTATTTTCATTATGCAAACTCTGACGCAACAATGGCCTCAACAGCAGAAGTTGTTGAATTTTTCGACACACTGACAATGTCAATGGCTACCCGGTTGATGTGCAAAGAGGAAAGTTAAGACAAGTGGTTAAACAAAATTTACAACATCACACTTTTTGGATTGAAGCCATTAACAAAATTAAAAAAAAATATTTTAGTAGACACCATGCTATATAGTAGCAAACATGCTATCCAAGTAGGAAAACCTCGACTTGTGCGAGGGCCATCCCAACAAGGAAGGATAACTTGTTACTGTAAACTTGTTGATAATTATTATTTGAACAGTATAATGTAGAATATTATTATCACAAAAATATTAGCCAAGACCCTTTAGAAATTTATTTTTGAATGTATAATAGTTATAGATTATAGAAATGTTGACCTAGATGCAAACATATTTATATATGCCTTTAAATATCTGATATTATCTAACATGGTTAGTCCACATTTGAAATTCTCTAATTGCGAAGAGGATTATGGAGACACATTATTAAATGTTAGCGGTCTTTTCAAAAATGTTCATAATAATAAAGAAAATTACTCTGACAACACTCCTAATGTTTTGCTAGCTCTCCTGTCCTCTTCACAAGCAACTTCAAGAGAAAAATTGCTTGTGGGTGATGTAGTCATGGAAAAAATTGAATACCACTGCTCAGCTTATACTGCTGGATACATTTGTCGGAAAATATCGAAAGGTATTCCTTGTAAGGATTGCATCAAAACAGCAGTACAGAGACAAATATTCACTCTTACATAAAATCTAGAGCATAAATTGTTGAAAAATAATAATTTGGCATACCCTACCGAAAAATTACTTATCTTGTACAGGGATGATACTCACTTTATTCATAAGTATTTGAATTATAGCTGTATCAGAAGTAATGTTAAAAGTAAAATATTGAGCACTTTGAGTTTTTCCTGGCTAGGATATAATAAGCATGCTTTCATTGTAAAAAAACTTTCATCAATATATTAATAAGGTTACACGGGCACAATTGGTATATAAAATATTGAAATTTTGTAACTGAATCTTTAGGTGACTAAGCCTCACAAAAGCTTGCTTATTGTCCAATCTCTGTCAAAATATAGAGAAGTTGAATGTTAAACAAATAACTTTATTATTAATGTAATTAAAACAATTTAAAAAATGGCCAGGTTTACCCTAAATGAAAAATTAATAGAATGTCTACTAATGAAACAAAGCTCCAAACACTACAAACTTAGAAAAAATGTTTGTCTTGCCTAACAAACAAATGTTATATATACCAAATAATAATTTGGCATACCCTAGCGAAAAGTTCTTTATCTTATACAGGGAAGGTACTCTTTTAATTCATAACCATTTGAATTGTAGCTGTTTTAAAATTAATATAAAAAGTAACTTGTAAAGTAAAATATTACTTACACTATGATTAAATATGATCCTGTGGTTTAATTTCTTTAATTTGCTATTTGCTTTATGTAATGAACAATAAATATTGCTCTGTTTTCGTCAAATTCTGCCTATATACAATGTTATGTACATTTTTAATATAACCCAATGTACTTTTAATTTAATCCTAAGATTACGTGTGTATGTATATGATATTGGTGTGCTTGAATAAAAAATAAATGTTTATGTACCAAAATTGTTTCATTAAGTAATATTTTAATATAACTATATAATGCGTCGTTACGTTGATATCGATAAAATAAGAACATCGCTAAATATCGATATCGATGATTTGAAGGATGTGTGCTTGCAATCCCTAAGCTATATTTTTTTTTATTTTATCACTCATCTGTCAAACTGGGCGACTGCAGCGCCAAAAGGCATAGTTGGGAAACTTGACTAAACTTGATTTTTGCAAAGTAACATCTTATTCTATTAGTCATCACAAATTATCTTTAATAATTAAACTACAAGAGGGGTATATAATTACTAGCTCCATTCCAGTTTAGTCCAAGTCAATGCAGCTGTAGACTTCTTTGTTTGAAATTGGCCATGAACTGCCATAGCCACTGCCATAGAGCACACAGACCACCTGACGGCAAGTAAATGCCGCGGCCCATAGACATCTATATTTATCCTCGATTAAGAATCAAAATGCGCTGGCATTCCTAAGGACCACGATGGAATACCTCGTTACCATTGAAAAGGTTCTCCGGTTCTCTATACTCATCATACGAAACACAACAGCATTGGACTGCTATTTTCAGTTGGTATTCTGTGAGAGCGTGGCCCTTCTCCGGACAAGCCGACTCGTTCGTGCTACAACCATGATATAGCTGCAGCAGGGCTCTACCACGTAATAAAGTTCATTTGTACATCCGTTTAACAAAAATACGCCCCTATTCCAGGTGGTAGATGGCGCGGTGAAGGTGTACAAGGGCACCAACTCGGAGGTGGACTCGTACTCCGTGTTCTGGGACAACAAGAAGCTGACCGACACAAACCTCAGCTTGCAGCTGCGAAACCGCGGTGCCACAGACATTTACATCTGTGGGCTCGCTTATGACGTGTGCGTAGGTGAGAAAGTCTGTTGTAGAATAGAATCATTGTTATATTTTTTTATAGGAGAGGGGGCAAACGAGCATGCGGCTCACCTGATAGTAAGTGACTACCGCCGCCCATGAAAATAACTATATTTTCATGGGCGGTGGTATAATAATTATATTCAATATAGATTACAAAAATAGTTATTGAAAGTCATTAATAACATTGAAAGCTTTTACCACTGGTTCGGAAAAAAGCCCGTCTTCCAGCGGGACATTATTTTTAAGAAATAGCATGGTAGCGATCACCTCATTGCCAGGGGTTATTATCATTCAAAAAATCTTTAATATAAATTTTATGGTATAAGGGTGACAAACGAGCACACAAAAAGATTAAGAATCAAAATGCAGATGCGTTGTCACCCCTGAGAACAAAGATGGAATGCCTCGTTTCCAGTAAAAAGGGTCTCCGCTTCTCTACATCCACCATACGAAACACAGCAGCATTAAGCTACTATTTTACACTGGTATTCTGTGAGTGTGGTCCTTCCCCAGTCGAGCCGTCACATTCATCTTACAACCATAATGTAGCTGCAGCATGGCTCTACCACGTATAAATTTAACATATTATAATAACCCTTTTTTACGATCTTAGTTTAATAATATTTTAACGTGAAACGTCTATTTGTTTTCATTATCATCATCATCATCATCATTACAGTCCTTCACAAGTCCACTGCTGAACATAGGCCTCCCCCAAGGAATGCCACAAAGGTCTTACCAGGTCGTCACTCCATCTAGTGGGGGGACGCCTTACACTTCGCCTACCGGTACGAGGCTGCCACTCGAGAACCTTTTTTCCCCATCGGTTGTTAGTTCATCGAGCTATATGGCCAGCCCATTGCCACTTCAGCTTACTACTCCGTTGGGCTATGTCGTTCACTCTGGTTCTACTGCGGATACCCTCATTTCTAAGTTTATCACGCAGAGAAACCCCGAGCATAGCCCTCTCCATAGCTCGCTGAGCGACCTTGAGCTTCCTCATACAGCCAGCAGTGAAGGACGACGTCTCAGTACCATAGGTCATCACTGGCAACACGCACTGATTGTACAGTCTTGTTTTCAAGTTTCGAGGTGTACCTGACGAGAAGATTTGTCGTAATTTTCCGAACGCTGACCAGCCAAGTTGAATCCGTCGATTGACATGGACGTTATACATTTTTTTTTACTTATTATAAACCAGTGCTTGGCTACTATTCCTCCTGGTGATAAATGGTGATGCAGCCCTAGATGATAAATCGCACTGTCTTATCGTAACAAAAACCTATTCCCTCTTGCCTTGAAGACGTACAAATTGTATTCGGACGGAAAGATAGACGCCGGCAAATTATTCCACTCCTTTGCTGTACGCATTATAAAAGACGAAGCAAACCGTTTGGTTCTAATGCGTAGAATATCGACAACAAAGGGGTGAAGACCCGCCGATCGCCTGGTTGTCCGATGGTGGAAAGGAGAGGAACAAATCATAGCGTGTAATTCCTGCGCACACTCACCGAAATGCATCCTATAGAATATCGAGAGACTGGCTACTCTGTGCCTGTGCTCGAGGCTGACAAGATTGGTTTCAACCAAATCAAGGTCACCAATGAGCCTCTTATCATGTCTCTCCATTGAGTCCTACGCTGCCAGGTGGCATTGCAACACCAGCCCATATGCGACAGCAGTTCTCCATACACGACCGGATTTGCGCTTTATATAATGTAAGAACTGCCCCGGCGTGAAGTATCGCCGCACTCTTGCAAGGACACCAAGTTTCCTTGTGGCTGCTTTGGCTCTGGACTCAATGAACCGCCCATAGTTGAGGTTCGGAGAAAATTCAACCTCTGACAACTGAAAGCTCCTTGGTGGGTGAGCGGGCTCCTTTTAGCGGTGAAAAAACACTTGTGTTTTGGAGGCTTTAAATCTCATGAGATTGACACTTCCCCATTCGGAGACTGCCTGTAGTGTGAGATTAACACGCTCAACCATAGCCTCTCTTTCCGACTGGATTTGACCTGGGCACTTGGATGATATCTCTCCACAAATGTCGTCTGCATTCCCATAGATACCGAGAATGACCAGATCATTTATGTGCAGCAGGAAGAGAGTTGCGGAGAAAACGGACCCCTGAGGAACACCGGCGTTAGTCGCCACAGTATCGGATGAGCAGCCATCGACGACGACCCGGAGAGACCGATCCCTCAGAAAGTCCTTTCGCCCATACAATCAGGCCAGGGGATAGCCGTTCGCTGAAAGCTTGCCCAATAGACTAGCGTGCCAAACCCTGTCAAAGGCCTTCGAAACATCGAAGGAAACAGCAAGTGCTTCACCACTGTTCTCGAGGGCTTCGCCCCATATGTGAGTGGCATACGCTAGAAGGTCCCCAGTTGATCGATTTCGGCGAAACCCGTACTGGTGACTGAGATAATTTTGCTCTAGGTATGACATGAGGTGGGCGTTCAATATACGCTCCATAAACTTGCAGAGTACGGAGGTGAATGAAATTATTACAACATGATTGTATAACGTGCATGTCATGTACAATTTGTTTCCATAGTGGGAGGCAATTCACAAAACTGATGATAAAAAAATCAGAACATACAGTTTAGTATTCGTATTGCAGTTACATATCTATCATCTACATCCAAAATATAATTACACCACTCGATAGCTAAAGGATCAGAGTTCGTTACGTCGTGTGAAGACTGCGACGTATCGCACGCGGCGGAAGGCAGGGGCAATTTGAGGTCGTTCTGTTACGTACACGTATTCACGTAAAACACACGGCCGTATGCACTACACAGATACCCCAATTTTTTAAACTTGGCGGAAGTCAGGTTATTAAATGAGCTTAAACTGAATAAACCCGTGTAGTGGCGGTGTAAGAATATCCACTATCCCATATGATCTCCAAGTGTCGTAAGAGGCGACAAAAGGAAACAAATCAGGAGATGGGCAGCAGCGTCTTCCTAATACTTTAATAGGCTTTACAGCCTATTAAAGTCAAATGTTTATTTATAATGGATAAATTATATTTGCTTTGGACTTTTTTTTATAGAATATGGGTGATAAACTAGCTAAATCCTACTGACGGTAAGTGGATACTGTGGCCCATTGCAATCTACATCAAACCGTTGAGAACTATAATGAAATGCTTCGTTCCCAGTAAAAAGGGTCACCGCTTCTTCTACCCTCGCCATACAAAACACAGCAGCATTAAGCTAACTATTATTATACAGCTAGCTATTATTGGTCACTAAGATGGAGGCCTGATGACCTGTAACTCAGCTTTTAATTACCTACTTCAGGCACCAACGATCCACAATCATTCTTGTTTAATAGCTACTTAAGTTTAGTGAAAACATTTTTGTGGTTTTGTGGGGAGAAATAAATAAATTTTCAATTTTACGCTGGTATACTGAGAGAGCTGCAGCATGTATATACCACGTAAAAATAAAAAAATGCGGTTGCCAACACGCTCACCAAATGTGTCAACTATGGCAAATGGCAAGAATATTTTATTTATTTCCAATTTTGGAATTCCCCTGGTGTTGCAGTTGTTCATGGGCGGCGGTAGTTACCATCAGGTGAGCCGCACGTTTGTTTTCCTCCATTTCTATTAAAAACATTTTTTTTTAGTTTACCATTACCGTTACAATCTATTGAAGTCTACTGCTGAATATGCCCCCCCCCCCCTCATGAGGAAATCTATGGGGGAGGCTTATGTTTAGCAATGAACTTCGGTTGTAACAGTAACGGTAAAATGAATACATTTATTTTTGCCTTGGATTTGGTGTACAAGGTGCAACAATAGCAGACGCCCTGGCCATCGGGTACCGCGCGGTGCTGATCGACGACGCCAGCCGAGGAGTGGACCTGGCCGACATCGAAAAAACAAAGGCCACCATCATCAATAACCACGGCGTCATCGTCACCTCCGACCAAGTACGTAGCACACGTTGCAACAGCTCCTCAAATACAACTAAGCTCATTTCGGAGTGGACCTTGTCGACATCGAGAGCACCAAGGCCACCATCGTCAGCAACCATGGGATCATCGTCATCTCCAGTCAGGCACGTAGCCTACGTTGCAACGGCTCCTCAAATCCTA